GTGAAAAAGGAAATATAGTTAAAGACACATACAACTGTTTTTCGGTAAGCTAGAAATTGTGTGTAAAGTGTTCCAGTTTGGTAAAGAAAAGTCAGCTAGTCGAGGACAGAGGAGGGAGTGAAGATTTGATTAGAGCTTGAGGATTGACGAAAAAACAAGAGAGGAATCTTCTACTTTTCAAAATAATAATGAGAAATACCCATAAAATGTATGGGAAGCTTTTGTTTTAGTTCTCATCAAGTTTCAGTCTACTTCAAAAGGATTAATTGAAAGTCAGAGGTAATTTAGATAGAAAAATGGAAAATTCGGGAATCATTAGAGTGAAAGGACAAACAATACCAAAAAGACAGGTCGGACACACTTCTGTTAATCCGCATCTAAAAGTGATATTCAGTGGAAATTATATGTGTTAGCTGAAAGCTTAAAAAGCTGTAGGCTCTTTGTCATAGAACATTTCAAACAGTTTCAGGATACAAACGTTTTAATAGCTGTTACCAGTTTATTTGCAAAACTCAACTTTAAATTATTTAATATTTGCTCTTTCGCCATTTTCAAAGTTAATCAGAAAAGCAGCTCTAACAGAGTTTTGGAAGAAAACTTTACGAGCATTTTTATAACAAAGATTGCTCTGGTTCTGGTTAGTGTGTTATCGTAGGTGGTGGTAATTGGTCTTGAAGAACCTTGTGAATTTGCTCGCTCGCGAACTGCTGCTAGCACGCCCTGTGGGAATCATACGCGAAATAGCAACTAAATAATTTTGGTAAGCGAGGCGCGGTTTAACTCTAAAGGAGGCTCCGGAAAGGTGAACCTGAAGCTTCACACAGTAAATGGGGCTAAGGTTTAGCTTAAAAGTACCTGAAACCTGAAAAAGTTTCCTTTTCCTGAAAAAAGAAGATTTTTTACTTTAATTTCCGATCTTGGTGATATAATCTACGGTTTCAGAAGATACTTTTATTATCTAGAATTTCTTCTGAAACCGCTGCTTTCAAATTCTCTGCAAGTCATGCCCCCTGGGCTATTTGTAGATTTCTTTGATACTGAGATTGGTAATTGGTTCTGTAATTTAAAGGATTTTGCTTCCTCACTGACTGCAGTAGTAATTCTTTGGCAACTTAAAGTCCATATTCATAGCAACAAGGTTTGCGAGCGAGTGTTCAGAATCTTTCCAAAAACAATTGTGACATTATTCACGACTCAAAATTTCCTTCGGTTTGTTAGATCGGAGGAGTTTCAGTAATAAAAAATTTTAAGTATGAGCAGAAGTACAACATCCTAGTAAAACAAATAAGAGTTACTGAACTATTTAGAGCTGTTGCTCTCCTGTCGCTTCTTACTCTTAGTAACACTTACACAAAGGCTGGTCTGAAAGAGTTAAGTAATAAAAGTGGTGTCGGGCTGAAAGAAGTGTAATCAAAGTGGAATGCGAGGAATCTAATTTTTTTAAATCGAAAATAACTCTTGAAATGTTTCGTTCAAGGAACCTTGCCCACTTTCACTTTTTTTTTTTCAAAATATTTATCATTATCTTTCCTTGAGTTTTCTTTGACTTGTGCTACTTAGCTTTCTTTAGATCCGCTCTGTCTTGAATAGCCTTTTATTGGGCTTAGCAGTAAGATTATTTTTGATGGAGTTTTTGTCAAGTTGTTATTTGTAAGTATTTAAGTTGATTTATCAGACAGAGGGCTTTAAAATAAGTCGATTACATTGGTCGTTATATTAATTTCACATACCAAATGGAACAACTGAAACAGCAGTCTAATATTCCTTTTATGTTCCAAGAATTACAAAGAATACAGCTCCTAAAGTTATTGGTTGGTACCATTTACAAATAGACCAGTTGTTCGTTTACATTAAAATTTATGTTAGATCAGTACTTGATACATTGTTGTGCTGCTAGAGTAGCAGAGGAAGTTTTTAAAAACTAAGAAATTTGAAAGCTAAGATTTCAGAACGTTCCGCAGCTGTTTCAACAAAAAGGTTTAAGTTTTCATAGAACTGAATAACTGACTTAATGACCGTCATTACTACCACAGCAAGTGTCTACAATGCGACTGTAGTAAATAAGTCTTAGATGATTTACCGTTTGTTAAAAACTTTTAAATTTTCAATCAAAACACCACGCCGGACGATCCATTTAAAGTGTAAAACGGCTTGAAACTAAAAATGCGGTAAGAACATCTTGCAGAAAACCGCACCAGTGCTTCCAGTAGAATAAACCATAGGTGACCGCCAGCGTTTATTTTACGTAGAGCTATATCCTATTGTATCACGGCACTCGTTTGAGCACTGACAGCTAACTTATGACATAATATTCGTAAATAAGAACATGTAAAGGGGCTAATGAAAAGCAAGAATTTTCATTAGTCTGGAGACATTAAGGTCCAGGTACCTCAAGTAATGATTACTGAAAAATTTTCCGGCATTTCCTCAGTCTTTATCAATAAGATTTTATTTTGTACTCTATTAAATTACATTTTTGTTGCATTTTATGAAGTTGAAAAATAATTATTGCCTATTTGGCTTAGCTGCTTAAAGATTAACTGCATTGTTCTCAGCAACGCGGCATGATCTATTTGACTGATTCATGAGACTAATCCAATTGTACTGCTGCGTTCGTCAACGCCACGTAAACGAGTCATATATAAGTATGCCCTGATGACGTCATTGCGTGTGTTTTTCCCGCGGTTTTTTGACATTCAAATTACATTGGACGCATTCTAAAAGAAGAGGACAAGTTTCCAGCGACCTGCAGTAGGCATTAAGATAGCATGTAGTTTTCTTGTTAAGCTGTATTTTGGACAAGGAAAGTTGTAGATTTTTTTGATAATCAGATTTCAAACTGTATTAGCCCAGTGCTGGCCTTATTTCTCGTAATAAATATAAACTAGGAACATTTTTTTAAAAATTGGATAGTCAAACAGGCTTGGATGTTTTCAAGAATGAACTTGTAGTGTTTATTTAAACGGGGTACCAATGAACTTATAAAATCTACAGTCGCTTTAAAAACATTTTTGCGGAGGGGATTGCTACTGGTAATTTGCTGGACCTGTAAATCTCTGGGTGTTCAATTCAACAGAAATTTCAGTTTGAATTTAAGTGATTAGCGCGAATGAAGTCTGTTTGTCTCTTGAACCATATTGGTCGGTGAAAGGATATGTAGTATGATTAGATTTAAACTGTTATTGTTTGATTTAGCTTTTATAAATACTTAGATCCAGTGAGGAAAAAAATGCATTCTGGGTTACTCATATTTGCCAAAAGAAAACGAAAAAATGAGACATACTGAACGGTTCTGAGATTGATATGCAGGGAATATGACGCTATAGACAAATGTGTTAACAGTGCGCAATATTGCACATCAGTATAGCTCGGTGAGAGGTACCGTTGGTTCATCTTATTGTGAACTTGTTGTACACTGTAACACCGATCAGCAAAAGTTACTGCATTTTGGAATAGTGGTCATTCCATCCACTATTTTGTTGTGATTTTACTGGATATTAGTGGAGAATTGAACTTTTTTCACGTTTGAATTCGTTTTTGATAATTATATTTGATGTTGTGCGTGCGACTTCTTGATGGTTATGTATCTATTTTAAAGTACATACTATATGTTTCTCGCCTGCCGAGTATGGTGGGCTTTAGTAGACACGTTTAATGTAACCTGGGGAGAAACGTTTTGTCCGTTGGTTATTTTCTTGGGTTTATTTTTTATTTTGTTGCAAGGAAGACCCAGCTGTATTTGGGTTTGTTGTCCCTGATCTTTTGTCTGAACGAATTTGTAGTAAATATAAATATTATTAGTTTTAGTAGCGAGCTGTCAGTACACCTTGGTGATGTCTGGATTGCAGAATCGGACTCTCTCCAGTTCCTCGCCAATGCGAGAGATTCAGAGTCGTATAAACGATATGACCGTCACTTCAAAAACGCCTGGTGCAAATGATCGCTGTATGAAAACACCGAGCAGTTCAAAGAGGTAAAGTGGGACATGTTAAAGCAGTGATTTACTAGTTGAGCCTTTGATCTGCTACTACATATATAGCTTGAGGCAAATAGAAAAGGAAATCTACTTTGCCACGGTCCTCCATGATCATTTAACGTATTTGCAGAAATGACGGTTTCTTGATTCGACAGAAGACTCCAAATAATAACGCAGGACACAGTAAAGCTAAAGGGCGGCTGAAGCAACGTGAGGTTACACCTTCACGGAACCCGAATTACTGTGGGACCGTAGGAGGTGGTGATCGTTTTATACCAAATAGGAGTGCAACTCAGTTTGATTTTGCTAATCATTGTTTGTCGCAGGTACGTTCTCTCTAGATATGCTGCTCGCTTGATGGTTCTGTTTCTTCTTATCTTTTTTTAGGGCGAGTCGTCGCTGTTAAATACCTCATCCTCTGCACCTGTAAGTCCTGTTAAGGCTGAAAAAGAAATAAAGAAGCAACTAATGAGAGGTTTTCTTTTGTGGTCATAGATTCATACAAAGTTGCAGTCAATCTGTTGATATATTTGTATAAACCCTTTTTTCAAAGTTCCGCAAATATTGGATTTTAAGCAAAATCTGGAAGTGACATAAATTGCGAAGAACGTATATTAATGTACAAGAAGGGTCAGGCCCCAGCAGCTCCGCTTGGTTATATGCATCACCCGAAAGTATTATATTGTTCTGGTGTAAATGCCGCAGGTAGCGTAAGGAAAGGGCTCAGGCATATCCCTTGCTCTCCTGAACGTGTGTTAGATGCTCCAAATTTAATGGATGACGTTTGTTAGTGAATATCCTTTTTTAAACCCATTTAATAAAAAAGCCTTATTATGCGAATTTATGGATAGAAGGGCATGAGCTGCGGGGGTAGTTTTTTCTTGTGAGAAAATTTCTAAGGATGTCCATTTTTTCTTCAAGTATTTTAGATCTGAATTTGATGGATTGGGGACAGAATAATGTGATAGCCATTGCTTTAACTCAGACTTTATATCTATGGAATGCTGAAACTGGAGACATTGCTGTAAGTTTTTAAAGAATTTGCCTCGGTTTTCGTTAAACCATTTTGACTAGGTACATTTTCATAGTTGGCACCGGAAGTTATACACGCTGGAATTTTTTAGACGCTATTCGAATTGCCGGAAGGAGAAAGGCTGTATGTGTCATCTGTCCAATGGTCTGCCGATGCAGCATATATTGCTGTTGGAATGTCTAATGGTGAGATCAGAGTAAGTTTTCATTGTTCAGACAAGCTTACTGTTATCCTAATTTTTATGGAAAAGTCTTGGTCATCTAGGGAACAATGTTTGTAGAATTAGGATTTTTAGCTCTTCGATCCCACACGGGAAACTGCCTTACGGAAAATGCAGGTGCAAATAAATCGCGTAGGTAGCCTAGCATGGCGACAACATATTGTGTCAGCGTACGCAATTTTAAATTTTTTCATGTTGGCTACTGTCGGTCCCATATGGATTTCTTTTGAATTTTCTGGTAAGGTTTCATTTACTATAATGAAATTTTAAGGGGGTGCCGGTCAGGACGGATTTATCATCACGATGTAAGAGTGGCCAAACATCATATTGGGTTTGCGATTTTAAATTCTTTTTGGCTGAGGTGAAGTTAGCGTCGAGCGATTGATGGAATCGTGTTTTAGGACATTTGAAAACCATGCGCAGGAAGTGTGCGGTTTGAAGTGGAGCCCAGATCTTCATTATTTAGCTAGTGGTGGAGGTGACAATATTGCAAACGTTTGGGAACCTAATATGATATCGGCAGAAGAACCAGTTTGTCATTACTTTTACTCGTTTGGAGAGGCACTCGTGATTTATGTAGCATTAAAAAGTCCGTCTGCATCGTCATATGAAAGGTATGTAAAAAGTGTTTTACCTCTAGTCCTACAATTTAGGTCCCATTATATACCCTGGATGAACACTTGGCCACAGTCAAAGCAATTGCTTTTAACCCTCATAAATCTTATTCTTTGGCCACAGGAGGTGGTATTAACGACCGTTGCATTAAGACTTGGAACCTCACTACGGGCACGCTCTGTCGTAGTGAGCAGACTGATAGTCAAGTTAGTATCTTAAGCAGTTTTTTAGAGTCAGGGGAGCTTTTTTTATTCATTTATTTATTTTTTTTTCTTAATCGTTTTATTCAACGAAATTTTCACAGGTGAATGGTATTGCGTTCAGCCAGCATTATGATGAGTTGATATCAGCTCACGGGTACCCAAGCAATCTTCTTCGAATATGGAGAAATTCAACTATGACGTGTATTCAGGTATAAGCTGTAAACTGTTCTTATAGTCTGCATCCTTTAGTCGGTCGAGTAGCTTTTTATATGTGATGGTTTCTTGAGATGGCCGTCGTTTCCTCCAATCAGTTCCAGTGTCTAATTTATGATTCTTTCAAAAGGCATAAAGGTTCTTTAAACCGCTTTTAGGAGCTAACAGGACATTCAGATCGGGTATTAGGAATTACCGTGTCTCCTGATGGTCAGCTTGTTATGAGCTCTTCAGCAGATGAGAGTTTACGTCTCTGGGCATGCTTTAAAGTTGACAAGTCTATGAACCATAAAGAAAGAACAAAGAGTTCTCGTCTGCTTGCAGCTGTTCGGTAAAAGAGAAGTGAGCGTTGGTCTGTTTCTCCAATGGTCAGTCTTAATCTAACGTGTAAAGTTCTTTCTACTTCAAATGCAAAGATAAATATTTAAATAAAGCTGTACTTTTTCAGGCTTTACCTTGCATATTTTATTTTAAGACTAAACTAGATGTTATTATTAACTGTTCTCAACGGATCGGCATACGCCATAACCTCTCTATTAAAGCCATTTTATAAGACCGAAATCAGTATCGCTCATGTAACCAGTGCAAAAGAAGAACCGAGATAATGGGAGATGTGATTACATTAATATAGTTTGCAGTCAAATTACTTCACAGTTAAAAAGTTAAAATTAACAAACAAAAAATACTTTAACTCCTTTGAAGGGAACTTGAAAAAAACTTATCCAAAAGTTTCTTTTTCTTTTAAAAAACTGTAGCAACTGATAGAGACTATCTTATATAAAATTTTGGCCGTATTTAGAGCGCTTATCTATAAGTGGCCAAAATTTTATATGAGATTTGGCTTCCTCAGAATCATATTTCGCAACCGTTGTTACATTATGTTTTGGTTCATACACCATCCGTAATTAGCACAATGATACTTTTTCGTCATAACCTTAGTGCAACCTTTTGGATTTTTGAATCAATAAAGGAATTTCCCCGCAGTATCAGGACGGGAACTTAACAATTTAAGTGGAATGAGAGGATTGACCTCAACCAGGTTAAACGAGTACAGTACATTTACATTGTTTTAAAGAGAGTAGAAAACAACTTTTGGAGATTAACGGTTCCGTATGTACATCTAGAGGAGGGGTGTTTGATTTCGGAAAAATTGCTTCAAGGAGGTTTCGACAACAAAGGTATGAGTGGCATTCACCGATGCCCAGTGAAGACGTCATGTCGAACTCCTGAGAGTGTCCAAATGCCCAGACGAGTAGTAGTTGTTACGTTTTTCGAGTAGTCTAATGAAGCGAAAGGGACGAAACTATGTGGCATTCTGAACTTGTTTGCTGTAGGTGATACAAGCTGTGTAATGCAGCGTCTAAGGTAGTAACTGGTGGTTCAGGTTTTGTCGAATTGACCGTTGCTGGTTGTTATACACATCCGAAATCTGTGCTTGCAGAGGGAGGCGGTGTCTGTCACCTTATTCTCATGGCTCAGGAGGGAAGGTTTGTTAGTGCGGCTAATGTAAGGAGATTTCCAAAAATTGTGCTGGTTTGTAACAGATCGGGAATCTAAGTTGGAAACTGACACATTCGCTAAGAACTGCGAGGTCCTAGATATTGCGTTGCTGTATAATCAAAGAAAGTAAAGCGTGCTTTCTCCGTGAAGTCTCTTGGACAAACTCTTCAACATATGAGTTTAGAATGACTCTCGCAGTCTTATTTCGTGGTTGATGGATCTCCTCGAATCCTCGTCATAGATATTTAAGGGTGTCTGCACACGCGTCAGATTCCAGCTCCAATAAAATGCAGACCACGATCGTAGTGAAATACTGATATCTACCTCTCTGGCGCACCTTTAATGGTATTATGAGCAGCCGACTAGTCAGCTACTATATTTGCTTCAGGTTCAATACACTGCTTGATCCGTAGCAAAAGGGCAGCAGCATCTCATCATTTCACTAGAACAACGGAAAACTTACTGCTCCGTTGCTCGATGCTCGTAAAACGCTATTGCTTTCCATTGCTCTATCTCTCTTGTACTTTCCTCTAATAAGAAGCCTTTTATTATTCGCCATTTCACCAGGACTGCCAAGTGTTGAAGAATCTTTCCTGCAGATTCTCCGTTCCTCCTCAGAATAAGTTTGTGTAATCAAATCTCAGACTAACTGTACTACTTGTCTCACAACTACTCCTGAAACCATTTTTTTCAAACATAAAAGTCTTCAAAACTTTGTCTGCTATGAAGAGATCAGATCCTGCCGTTGTAAAAAATAAAGTCCCAAGTCCATAGCTAAACTTAAAGGTTTGTAGAACAGATTTGACCATGAACGAAATTGGACAAATGCCAGTTTGAAAAGCACTTTGAATTAAGCCCGAAGAAATCAAAAAACAGCAAGGGGAGATTGCTGTGAACGCAGTGGACGTTGGATTTGAGCGTCTTGTGTGTTGGGCAACTTCCAGCTGCCATTACTGATGCCAAAAGTGATTGTATTTGAATTTGATGCATCATTCTTTTCCATAGTTTTTGCAAGACCTCTGAACAGGTATAACTGGAACTTACTTCAGCTTTTGCCTTCTTTTGCTTTTTTTAATTTCATATTGAAAGCGATTTACTGACCTTATTTTTTTTTTTCTAAAGGACTAGTAAAAGGAAGGAGCTGGGAAAGAAGATGACTTATCAACGTATTTTACTTCAGTTATTATTTTTTACCGAATAATTTTGTTCTTTGAAATGCTGACGACATATTACGCTGCTGTTTTGTTATTGTTTACCACAGAGTTATATTTCTTTTGTGTCCAGTCGACCACTGTTTTTTTCCGGGAGACTGCCTTTGTAGCCTTAAAAGCGTAACTTTATCTTTAAATATTTAAGGGAACAGTCTCCTACTTGTTTCAGTTAGGTGACTGTATAGGATTTATTAAAAAATAATTTTTTTATTTTAAGGTTAGTGTTTGCGGTATTTTTGGATGACACGTCATGGCAAAAATTCTACGGCATCTGCCGTTTATTCATATGCTGAGAGAAAGAAAGATTCGAAACAATCGGGTTATGGTACACTGCATGAGCGTCTTGGTGCTGATTCCATAAAAGATTTTGACTGCTGCTCTATCACTTTACAAGTATGCAGGTAAATAAGTCTTTTATTTAGGGATATCGCTTCGGCTGTTATTTTCCTCATTAGTTTTTTTAGGAAATTAGCCACTTTTTGAGAAATGTTTTGAAGCTTTTATACTGCCTTTGATGGCACTTTGGATTTAGGGATCCTGTAATAACCCCAAACGGTTACATATTTGATCGCGAAGCTGTTCTTGAGTACTATTTGCAGCAAAAGAAAGAAAATACTAGGAAGCTGAAAGAGTGGGAAAAACAATGCAAGTTGGAAGAAGAAAGGGCGGAAAAGGTATGGTGACTAGTTTCACAAGTCGCGCTCAAGTAAATTTCTTGTCATAACCTAATGTTTCTCAATGTTTTTTTGTTAGGAGAAAAAAGTAAGTGAAGAATTGAAACTAAGGAAATTTGCTGCATTAGAAGCAACACCTGCTCACCCTGGAGGAGAACCGGACTTTGGTGATGTGGAGATAAAACAAACGACGTCTGCTGGAGCGACAGCTTCTGGTAGTAAAGTAAGGCTCTAATCTTTTGTGTAATACAATTTTAATTTTTTTTCGGGTTTTTTTAAAACCTCTGTTTCTGACTCTTCTCAGTTTGAAACAAGTATCTTTAGTTAGGCAAAAGATCGGTGCCGCCTGAAAGTGATGTCCCTGGGAAGAAGTCAAAGGAGGAAAGTATATCAAATATGGAGGGCAATAAAAAACATGAGTTTCCCAGCTTCTGGGTGCCTCAACTCTTACCAACAGCAACAGAGACCAAACTTGAAAAACCTGTAAAGATTTTTTTGTTATTTATTGGCCTTTCTAGCGTCACTCTGGCTTTATGATCGTTATTGTTGTTAAGGATCAACGAGTTCTTTGTCCTTTATCAGGACGACCGTTAAAAATCAAAGAACTTATGCCTGTAAAGTTTACCGAGATGCCAGAAGACAGTAATAATAAGAAACTTATTGCTAGAAAAGTTCGCTATATGTGTCCCGTAACGCATGACGCTTTAACGAACACGACGAGATGTGCATATTTAAAAACGAGGTTTTCTCCAAATCTATATTCTTTTGTTTTTACTGGCAGCAAACCTGAAGTTTACTTTTTAGACTCTGCTCATTTTTCAGCCAGACAGTAGTGACAATGGCATGCGTTGAAAATATAATCAGGAAAGATATGATTGATCCACTGAATGGTAAAAAAATGACGGAAAGTGATATTATTGAGTTACAGCGCGGCGGCACAGGTATTTTTTTTTTATTTCTAATTAGTGGGTGGTTTTACACTCCTGATCTGAATGTTCAAATTGTTCTTTTGCCTTTTTCGTTTTGCAAATAAATTTTAATTAGCTTTTGATTGCTAAATTGTGTATGCTGTAGGTTTTGCTTCGACAAATAAAGTTGACGCGAAATTGATCAGACCCCAGTTGGAGTTGCAGTAATTCTTTCTGACAGGATCATCATTTTTTTGTTTACCTAAGGAACGATGCAAGTTATAAATGGATGCACACTACATTACCTTTATTTCGCATTAATTATTACTTTAATGTATATATGGAATGTCTAAGAAATCGTTTAGAATAATTCTTTTGCTGTTAAGTACAGTGAATGACTTTAGGGAGCTAAGAAAATAATGCTTTCTGTGAAAGAAGCGCAAATTTTTTCAAGAAAAATTTGCGGATTATGAATTAATCTGTTAAAGGTTTGAAGTTACGCAGCTTTCGCTTTAGAAGTGCCGACATTGTTCACTGTTCGTTCCATAAGGTTTTTTACGAGATTTTTTTGCAAATTTGAAATCTAATGGTGATCAGGTTTAGGAAAGATAAAATAAAAAACTGACAAGTTTTTCAGTTTAAAGCTGCCTAAATATTTTTTCTTATTGGAAACACTGAACTAAGTGGTGCTACTTGAATTTTTTTATTTTCTGAAATTTATGTTTGAACTTGATGAAAAGACTGTAACTTTTGCATTCGTTTATATCACTGTAGTGAAATGTGCTAAGTCGTAATTTTAAACTTTTTGGCATTTATGTCGTACTTCTTGTGTGATAGGCATTTTGCCTTCTGGAAATAAATTACACAGTATTTTATTTTCGAGTTGCCCTTTATCGCGTTAGCTACGCAGTTATTGTTGCATCTTTCTTAATTTTCCAATTCTTGTTTGATTATCATTGTAATTCGGCGTATTTCGGTAAGACGCCGTGGCTCCATGGACTCTGATTTCATATGTTTTAAGTTTCTTTTTTTGATACTCAGTTTGCGAGGTGTTCAGAATCGCTTTGAGAGCTGCTTGAAGATCTCTTGGTGAGGTATCACTTGTTGAACGGCACTTTTTTGATTTTGGCTTGGTTTCAGAGGATGACGGAAGTTATGCAAAGTGGATTTTTCAAAAGGCCGGCACTTCCAATGCCGTTGGTGCATTCCTTGGGTAAGTTCTTTATAGTATACTGAGGGCGCACTACTGTAGTGGGTCACTTTTCGCTCTAAATCTCTGCAAATTGTTATTTAGGACCAAAGAGACCTTGCTTGGAAGTGGTGCAGGGAGGTAATCAAAGTATTCCTGCTCGCACTTCAAGTCTCAAAGCTCCTATTATGATGCTTAGCGGGCATGAGGGGGAAATTTACACAGCAAAGTTTAGTAATGATGGGACATTCCTAGCTTCTGCTGGATTTGACATGATAATTTGTAAGTTTGTGCTACGTTTAGTTGTTTCTCTGTCTTGATTATTCTTTTTTTGTGTTTTTAAAGTATTGGGCAAGTTTGTTAGCATGTAGTATGCTTTACTTATAGTTTTGTGGAACGTCTATGGAGACTGTGAAAACTTTTCTGTGTTAAAAGGTCATAACGGAGCAGTGATGGATGTGCATTTTAGTACTGATTCAGGGTTCGTTTTTGAATAATTTATTTGTTGGATGGTTGCTTTAATAGTTACAAAAAAAAGGCATTATTTGTCTTCTTATATTCCAAGAGGAAAACTAAAAAACAAATAATTCAAAAGCAAAGATTCGGGAATAGTTGCATCTGTGGAGTTCCCGTTTAAAAATATAATCTTTAAAGCAGTTAGATAAATAATCATTTTCTTGTTAGGTACCTTTTTTCCGCTTCTACTGACAAAACAATTCGCGTATGGGATATGGAGACTGGCGCTTGCATTCGAAAGTTTAAGTCTCATAAAGATATTGTTAACAGCTGTCATCCTGCACGCCGGGGACCTCAGCTTGTTTGTAGTGGATCGGATGACGGGAGTGTTCTAGTTAGGATCAGATTTATTATTATATGCCTTCCTCATTTACTAAGTGTTACTGGTTAATTAGGTTGGTGGCATTCATATTTGAAGGTTCACGATATACGAAGGCGCGATCCGATTGCTACTTTCCAAAATACTTATCAGATAACTGCAGTTACTTTCAATGATACAGCTGATCAAGTTGTTGGTGGTGGTATTGACAACGATATCAAGGCAATTGCTTTTAATATTCTATCTCCCTTTCTCTCCGTTTTGCGTGAACAAGAGTAAAGTTTTCAAAGTGTTTTCAAATTATTTTTTGTAGGTATGGGATCTTCGACGGAATGAAGTTATGTATGTGATGCGTGGCCATACAGATACAGTAACCGGTTTAGCACTCAGCCCTGATGGTTCATACGTTTTATCCAATGCAATGGACTGTACAGGTGTGAATTGCATATTAAAACTGGATATTGTCTTATCTGATTCATATAATCAACTTATTCTTAATCAACCGCTTGGAACCATTCAAGCATGCGCTTATTCCACAATAATGACTAACTCGTTTTAGCGAGAATGTGGGATATTAGACCTTTTGCACCAGAACAGCGCTGCCACAAGACATTTGTTGGTCATCAGCATAATTTTGAAAAGGTTTGCTGGAGTTGATTAACTGTATTTTTCTTCAGAAGTTGTACACAAGAAATAAAAAAACTTATCTGCTAAAATATTTTTTTCCAAGCGGTTCAGCATTCAGTACTTTTTGCAAAGTTGCTGCAGTTCTCTGCTGATTTAATCATTTAGAAAGAAATTTTTATCATTTTTCAGAATCTTCTTAAGTGCTCCTGGTCACCAAATGGTCAAAGAGTTTCGTGCGGATCGAGCGATCGTTTCCTTTATGTTTGGGATGTTACATCACGAGCAATTGTTTATAAGTTGCCGGGGCATCAAGGATCTGTAAATGCAACAGATTTCCACCCCAAAGAACCTATATGTTAGTTTTTCTGTCTTTGACACTTGTGATTAGATTTGCTGACGTATTGCAAATTATTTTTATATTTTTTCAGTGTTGTCTGCTGGAAGTGATAAAAAAATATTTCTTGGCGAAGTGGATCCCCGATGACTATTGGTCTTATTACTTCGTTCTTTGCTCCAAAATGTTAATTTCTCAGTTCTTGGTCTCATACAGATGTCCTTCCATGCTTTCATTGTATAAGTTTCAAGTTGTGCGCCTTGTTTCATGATTCTTTTGGTGAGCAAAATGGCGTTCAGTACGGGTTATGGAGTGTTTTGTGTGACAGAAGTGTATTTGTGTTGTGACGTTGACATGGACCGTCAAGTAGTCAAATTGTTAGATGCTTCGAAAAACTGCTTCTTTCACTCGCTTTTTTCGCGAAGAGCCGAACGGAATACGTTGTTCTGTGTTACAGTGTCACTTTGTGTTACGTTTTTTATGATGTGGCGTATGCTGGGTGTTTCTCAGTAATTTCCAAGCACGGACAGAGTATGTATCAGGTAGCACAGGCTTCGATATATCAATAAATTACGGATTAATCTTCAGTTATACTTGTCTAACACACGAATGGTTCAGACGTGTTAAATTGCTAAAAGTAGTTTTCAAGTTGGGATTTGCCTGTTTATTAAAAGGTTCAATTCTAGTTGTTATCCGTACTGCTAGTTGAGCGAAGAAATTTGGGTCCTGGAAGTATTTGTTAGCTTCAGGCTCTCACTCTTCTTATGGGGACATAAATGTAGTGTTTTTGCCCGTCGATTTTGAAGATTTCTGTAAAATACGTGAGCGTTGAGAGCGTTAATCTAGAACAGTAATAAAAGTATCTGGTTCAGAATTGATCCAATGGCCGGCTTGGTTCATGGTCGACAGGGTATACGTAGATTTTTGAAGGTCATCGTGTCAAGATCGAACTGTATATTTGAGAACTTGGCTTTTGAGGAGTGGCTTTTTAGGAACCACAATGTTGCTGCTGACGGTGAATTAGTCCTACTGTGGAGGTACTTTTTTTTTTTTGACTGTATTGCAGTTACAGGCAATTCTGAGCGGACTTTTTAGCCGTAACGACGGCGCACTTCTGGACCGCATGAATGACATTAGAAATGAGTTGGTCTTTCAAAAACAGTTGAAAGTAAAAGCAGAACCAATCTGGCCCTGCAGTTTGGGAATACCTCCAAATTCCATCAGAAATACCGTTTTTTCAAATTTTTTTCAAACGACATCTCAGTGCTTGCTTGAAGTCTTCGTTCTTCATGTTATTTTGATGCTGAGGATTGCACTTTCTAGTTTAGTCAAGGAGATTTTCGGCGGGATAGATTTGAATAACATCTGTTTCAGTCGTTAGTACCATTAATGTAAAATGGCTAGATCTCATTAAATTTACTTTTAACAAAATCTCTGAGTTTGGTTTATTTTTTAGCAACAGCCCCACAGTTGTGATTGGACGTCATCAGAATCCATGGTTGGAAGCAAATTTGCCATTTCTGGAAAGGAATGGGATTTCCCTCGTGAGAAGACAGAGCGGCGGAGGAGCTGTTTACCATGATTCAGGTTCTTCCACTTATTTTCTTCATTGTTAATTTTCACTCCAAGCTTGCATCCATTATGTTTTGCACCTTTAAATCTTTTATTTAGGGAACCTAAACATATCATTCTTAACAGAACACAGGTATCACAACCGAAAACGGAACCTGAAATTCCTTGCTGATATACTGAACACAAGATATAATGTCAAGGTATTATAAATAATGAAAACAATATATCATAAGTAATTGACACAGATAATGCTCGACCCTTCGAAATCATAATTTTCAAGTGTTCCCTTCATGTATAGACTTCCAACTTGTGCAAACCGCTCTTGGCAACTTCTGGAACACTTTGAAATAATTCTTAACTGATGTTTATCAATAACACTCACGAAACAGCATTCATGTAGCTGATCTAAAAATAACGAGGGAGAAAAAATGGACCGTCTTTCGTAGCACAGTCATATTTACTTTTAGGATTATACGGGGAACTCTTTATATTGATAGAAATAACCTTCTGACATTGGAAGTTATAATTAAATGAATTAATCGCCATCGCTCCAGGTAGAATCCAATAAACGTGACGACCTACTACTCCAGCCAGGAAATCGGAAATTTTCTGGCACGGCAGCACGAATTGCTCGAGGGCAAGCATACCACCACCTAACACTTCTAGTGAAAGTGGACGTATCACTGCTTAAAACTTCACTGAGTTCCCCTTGGAAGGCAACGTTTTTCATACTACTTCCAATTTCAAACTTTCCTATAAAATTCCAAAATTTGCGTATAGGTTCTAAACATCTACAAAAAAATGTAACCGTTATTCGGTCCCCCTATTCAGCAAATGTATACCCAGTATTTAGATTAATCCACTGTGGAATATAATCATTTTCTTAGTAAACGCCTTTTACTAAACGTGAAAATTGAAGAAGAACATTGTTACAAATGCATCGAGGAGCGTGCCAGCAGCAGCCATTGGGTACCTTACTCAGGAAGATGAAAATATTTCGGTCACCAGTGTTACCAACTCAATACTATCGGAACTTAAAAAAGACTATAAGGTTCGTTTGCATCAGCGAAGATTTAAAACAAAGAGAAGTAATCAGAGTAATTTGATGAAAAGACAAGAATACAACAACAACGAAAAAATAAGGTTAGTAGCAGTCACTTACTTCAACCTTAACTGATGAATTTTTAGGAATGTGATATCACTTTTTTATCAATTATAAATGACGATACTGTTTTCTCTGGTGTAAAAAAAAACCAACAATTGCTGAGAAGCTGGGAATGGACATTCGGGAAGACCCCAAAGTTCGAAATATCCTTTAAAGCAGGAAAAGCAACAGTCGAAGCAGGTATTATAAGGAGTTGCAGCTTTAAGACAGACATGATAAATCAGAGACTGCCAAAAGTACTGGATGAAATATCTGCATAAAAAAATAATGCATTTCCTCTTGAAAACGCAAAATTCGTTGCAACATTAAAGCCAAATAATATTTTAACAGAAGATAAATTCCAAACCATAAGCGAGTGTTTTGCACCCTTCTGACTAAAGGTAGCTACAGAGTATTTTTAAAACAACACAAAAATGAAAAGTCACAGGATAGTCAAAAGCACCAAATGTAACGATTCATAAAAGAGAAAAGATTAAAGTCAAACAAAGAGATTTCTTATCAGAAGCTGATGATAAATAGGCAACCATTTACAGCTATTCCAAGGGAATTTTTTGGAATTAAAAGCAAAAATAAACCTCCAGAACGCCGGTCTATATGATCTTCTGGAAGTATACGGAATATGTGCCAACTGCATGATGTCCAACTGAGCTCGTTAAATTCAACTAGAAATTTATTTGTCTGGCAGACACTTGATCACAGAAAGGGGATATAACTGTTCTAGTGCTGATATAGAAAACTAATCCAAACGCAATTGAAATTGGTAAAGCCGGCAACGCCTTTCGAAAGATCGCCAATAATATTAAAGTGAAACATAAACCCTGAAAAACACTTCCATAAAAATGCTACGGTTGTTTAAACCAAAAATTCAGCTCAAAATAGAAAGGGACAAAGCATCCGGAACCGTAATTTACTTTAAAAAATAACTTCGCTCACAATGAGAATTCCAGCATAACAGGCTGCGGTTGTGTTCCAGTCACCGTAGCTGCTTGCTTTTCCAACAAGCACACTGTAGAAAATAAAATCGCCAAGCCCTAATTTTACACCTCCTGAAGAGCATAAACAGTCAAATAAACCAAAGTAATAATTTATCCAAATTCAAGCCTGATTTGATGGCACTTAGGTATTACTTTCTTCATCCTCGTTTTCAGGTTTATTTTCACTGCCTTTATTTCCTTGTGCGGATTCTTTCGGACCTTTAGTCTTCAGTTTCGAACGGGTAGTTCTTTTAGAAACACTTCCCAAACTTTCGCTGAAAAAAACTACTTAAAATTTTGATCGGTAAGAGAGACTTGGGGAAATACATTAGCAAAACAACTTTGCATGGAGACCACTGGTACTAGGTTCGTCCTGAACTATAGCACTATTCACCTCACCGCCATCTGAAATCAACATCTCAACTATTTACAGCAGTTACACGGCTGGAAACAGGCAGAAATGCTTCAGATTTAAGTATGGTAACACTTGTTCAGGCCTCAAAAATCAAACAGTAAATAATCACGAAGAAAATAACCTTTAATAGTAACTTTAACGTGACGATGTGGTGCATACCGATGAACTGGCTGACTTTTTGGATTTTCATGAAACAAAAGATTCGTACCGTCTGTAGCATTTGAATTTCTTTGGGAATCTGACTCAGCTGGTAAAAACAATTCACCAGCTGAAACAAAGAAGGCTTAATTAAATATTCTGTTATCCTAGCCACTGCTAATTAAAGCTTAGGATAACATTAACCAGTTTACAGAGAAATTACCCTCTGGTAAGCCATAATGTAATGCTTTGAAGGAAAAAGAAATAAGTACTCAACTACGAATTATTTATGAAAAGTTAACAGAAAATATATATCACTTTCAGAACTAGAGGTTTGCTGCTCATCTGACGAGCCTTCATCAGGAGCAAGAGTTTCATAAGTCGTTAAAGCTGTCCCAATAATACTATAAGGGTAAACCATAGCAGCTGAAAATTAATAGTGGAGAAATGAATTGATGTAACAGATTTTTTTCAAGTTTAATCACCACTGCTAAGTAAACAAGCTTTTTTTAAATTTTAAACAGAAACTAACATGAATAAATCAATGAAGGGAAAAGGGATTCTCCTCTATTTTGCGCTATTTCAATAAGAATTCTCAAAGGTCCCCTGGGACTTAAAACTGCAAAAAGGTCCCAGAGAGCAACCAAAAAAAGCACAGCCCATACGGTCCAGTCCGGCAAAAACTTGATGAAAGTGAGAGCCATTAACGCACTAATGATGACCAAATATACCTACAACTGACACTCATAAGCCCCATTGAAAAACCCTAGAAAAGTGGAAATTTTAGAAACTGTAAACCTGCTGTGCTCTCAAAGGACCGATCCAATGTATACACATTAATCCCATTACTGAAAAGTTCCAAATGATAAAAGCTGTTGTGAGATAGTCGACCGCAATGTTCGAAGTTATAAAAACTTCTCTATAAAAAGGAAGCAATTTTAAAACTTTGTTTTTTGGCCAGAGGAATAATGTCCAAAGAGAAACTATTAAGTTAAAGTAATTTTTGCTGTTACCTACCACAATTATAAGCCTTTTGGCATTTTTTTCTAAGTAGACGTCAATTTTACCGAAAAAAAAAGTGCCCTAGTAGTTGAAAATTATCTCAAGATGTTTCTAAAACCCAGAGTTAAATTTAACTACTTTTTTAATATATCAGCATATTGAATACTCCGAGAAATAAAAATTTGCTTTTTTTTTCGGAAAATCATTTTTACCAAAGACATTCTTTTGTTGCACTCTACTATAACTGAAAATTCAGCTCAATGCAACAAGTCATTAAAGAGAAAAAATGGTGAATTATAAATCTGGTACATCAAGAGATGAAAAAAATTACTGAAAATCCTCACATATTAAGCTCAAGCAAAGAAAAAACGAACTAATGTAAAATGTGCAAGCCATTTTGAGCATAGAAATATGCTTAGCATTAAAGATGAAACAGTAGAAGTGATAATAAAATTTGAAAAAAACGTTTGAAAGAATATATAAATGGATTACGTACTACAGCACCAAAAAACTTACTGAAGGTAAATACCAAAGAATACGAGCAACAGCACCAATGTGCTCAAAATCAGCCAACTCCTTAGAAGCTAAAATCACTTTAAATCATTTAAAAACAAGATAAAAAAGGAATAAAAATAAATAGGAAGCATTTGGAAAATAAAAACATCAATTTACACTCAGAATGATTTTAAAATTTAGATGGGTCTAGCTCTGAATCTTTCAAAGAAGAAAAAGACTCAGCAAGAATTGACATTAAACAGTACACTGAAAAAACTTCAACTGTTTAAAAGTTCTGCGGCCAATAATTTCAAAAGCTTCAATCATTCTAGCTGTGTAATTGGAAAGTAAACTTCAGGAATTAATGTTAACAACCCTTACAGTGTAACATCTATACTTGTACAAAAGTATCATCCCAAAAGTCATTGTTGCTACGATAAAAATAAAAATAAGTCCATTCAAGACTGATTTCCACAGCAGTTCACCAACATTATCCGTCTTAGCAACAAAAGGTGTGTAGGGCCTAAACAATTTTGACAAACGTTTACAAAAAATTTTTTTGATGGAAGGAAAAAATAAAAAAAGAAACTGACAGGTACACCAGCGTATGACTGTAATAGCCAATAGTATTCATAGTTAAAATCACGGTAATCATGCAAAATGAAACAGGCAAAATAACAGTAATCACATGATGAGCGTCATATTTAAGGTCACCTTCATCCTCCTCTGTTTTTGATGCTGAAAAAAAAGGATTTCTCTCGTTGTATAAACTGCTACACAAAAACTCAGTAGGAGTCAGCGTTCTCTGCTAAATCGAGATTGAAAAAAAAGGCTTTACCACGAGATCTACGTCTTCTTGGCCTACCATCGGTTACGCTAGGTTCGCCAACTTCTGCTTCTTGACCTTCCTGGTGAAAGAAGTTATAATTAGTGAAAACAAAAATTTGAAGCAGAAGAAACAACGTGCAAAGCAGATTCTAAATATATGTCCTCCAGAAATCAAGCCTCAAAATACGCATGATTTCAGAAGTTTTCTTCGAACCCCAGAATCCAGCTCAAGTACTTACCACGTTTCCATTGATTTACAATAGCTTCTGCTCTCAAATAATTTTAAAAATCTAGTTTTAGGACTACGCTAGGATTCTGCGGAACTAATGTTCATAAACTACATAATACAACAGATTCCGGATAGATTAACAACAAAAACTTTCGATATACTCAGTCACAATTCAGCTTGCAATAGTGGACCACCTCTTTAAAAATGTATGACTTGAAAGACATTTTAGCTGCTTAAAAATGCATTTTATTACAATACTCTAGCTGGTTAAAGCGACAATTATTCAAGTTATTAAAACTGGTGATGAAAACATTTCGGAAAACAAAAGTGTTTCTCGTCAAGAAAAAGAATTTGTTCACTAAACTGATATTGTTCTTTTGCTAAAGATGCTATATAAAGTAAAAAAGTACAGTAGTTCTAAAAAAATTGTTTAATACCCTGGTAAAGCAGAAATGGGAAAGAAATGTCCAAAAATAAGAGAATAGGTAAATTTTTCTCGAAAAATTTTTTTAAAGTTCTACAAATAACTATATTTAAGGCTAAGTTTTGACACTCGTTGCAGTAAAGCATGGCAAAATTAAGTTCTTCAGCACATTACCTTTTCCGCTTCATTTTCGGGTAGACCGGCTGAGGAACTTGGCAAATCTGAAGCTTCGCCCGCCGCTTCTTGATCCTTCATATATCAGTGACAATAGACGCTTTAATATTATATCTAAAACAAAAAAATAAAATAAAAAAAGGAAAAAAAAACGTGGTGTTCACTAATAACGAACAACATAAAATAAATATTAAAAGAGTGGCATTTTGATATCTGACAGTGAAGGGTGCGTTATGAAAGTGTGCATCTTACGTTGTTCTAAGTTTTAAATAAATGTATGAATAAGCCGCAATAAGTCCATTCGTTAAGCTGAATTTGAATCAATATTTCAGCTTCACATTTTTTCACTGTTCTGTCACATATATTAAGCAGCATTACTTACATAACAACAGTTAATTCCATTTTATAGTGAAAAAGCAATAAAACTCAAAAAAAAAAAAAAAAAAAAA